ATATGTATACTTGCGTGTGCAAAATCGACAACACGGTCAATTATATTTTCAAACTTGTTTTTGGTGCTTAAATATAGTAGTACCCTGTGCTTTAACCGATTAACTAGACCTCTTAACTAATTAGCATATTTCTATTTTGCTTCAACACATCATACAACCATACCTTAACTGATTAAGATCCCTTGATAATTAGGTACTAGGATTATGCTTTTGTTCATTATTTGCTCTTTCCTTTTTAATTGATTAACTCTTCATTAAACTTAGCAAGCCCCTTCACTTACTTTTAATTAATAGCTTAGCTAGGGGTATAAGATTAAATCTTGTACATTTAAATAGTAAAGTTAGATATTAATGAATGAGGAATGTTTTGTTATCATAAAAAAATATGGAGTTAACATTCTCTCTTTTTTAATGATGACAAAACATCCTTGGATTAAGAGTGCAATGTCTATAAATGAAAAGAATATTTATGCAATTTTGAGGATTACTCTCCCTGAGTATGTGCTCCCCATAAACATATGCTTTAATAAAATTATCTAACATAAAACCATTCAAACACAGGAGCATATATGTACATATATGTACGAATATATACAATATTCAACCATTCAGTATAAGTTCAATGAAAAGATATAAAGACTTAGCACAACATAAGCCACATAACCCATACAAACATAGTTAAGCACATAACCCCATCATAAAACATATAAACCACACAACCATTGTTCAACATTATTTATCACAAAACATATAAACCACACAACCATTATTCACCACACAACCATTGTTCATCACAAAAAAGGCATACCAAAGCAAAGACAATAAAAGCATAACTTAAGGATTGAGTTCATCATTCCTATCAACTTTACTTTTTAATCTTACTTTTCTATCTTTCTATTTTTCTCCCCCTTTTTGGCATCATCTAATGAGTTCTAATTTGAGTTTGACTTGATCAGTCAACCTTCCATCAATTCTCATTAAGAGATTAAGCATCATGTCACTCTGAAGTAGGGGTTGACTGGCCCTTGTGAGGGGTGTTGAATGACTATCAATTGGAAGGGGCAGAGGTGTACCTTTTGTGATCTTAATATATTCATTTTTCTCTATCTTGTACCCTATTTTCAATACAATACCCAAGAAGGTTCCCTGATCTTTATTCTTCATGTGAAATCAAATTGAAATCTTCTACTCCAAATTCCCTTCCTTTTCACTAAGGTGTTAAGGATATTGCCATACGACAGATTTACTTTGTCCCCTAGAATAGTTGTT